GACATCATCAATCAGCAGTGTTAAAGTCAAGGGAATCTTCTCTCACAGAAATGAAACCCCAAGCAATGCCCTTGAAATAAAAGGTCAGAGTCGGATGAAGTTTTGTTTGCATGAAGTTTGGAGTTTTTCAGGGAGCCAGCTGGAACCACAGAAGTGATGGAAAGCTTTCCTCTTGGGGTCTCTAGCTGGTCAGAGTGACCCCGAGATGTGTTAGAAAGTCTCTTTTCCCAGCCCAGCTCAAAGAAGGAGTCAGAGCTCTTCATTTCTCAGTCTCAAGGTTGTTTATTGTCCGGTCAGCTGTCTGTCTCTGCCCAGACATGCGTAGGGTGGTTCTGGGGCCGCCTGCGCTTCAAAGGACAAGTCTGGACTCTTCAGTTTTTTGGTCTTCAGATTGTTTATTATTTCTTGTCTACACAATTTTCTTTCTGCCCAGCTGAGGTCTGACCTGCAAGGCAGCCAAGGGCACTCTGACCACCCACAGGGCGGTCGTGTCTTTTTACACTAAAAACTACGTACATGATATTTACCTTTATTTCCCAATACCTTTCACCCATATTAGCAAGTGCACCTTCACCATGGACCAATCCCCAAGTGCCAACATCACCACAGAAAATGGATGACAAGAAGAAGAAAGAAGGAGGACAAGACACACCCTGATCCCTCCATCTTGTCTCCATAACCCTCCTGTACCAAAAACCCTAAAATCTATATCTCACCCTGTAAATATATCCTTCTTGCACCATTCACTCCCAAGTGACTCTCATGTCCTCAAACAGGTGGCACATCCCTAGAGGGATTGAAGTCAAGCCACCAGGTGCTCCTGGCAACATTCCAGGATTTCCGAGCCCCCCAAGGGTTCTCTCAGCAACTCTGGACATCCGAAGTGATGTGCTGAGTTCCCACAGTTTATTGTATCTTATCTATAAAATTCTTTCTCCTGTCCCACCGAGGTCCGCTCAGCAGGACAGTCTGGGGCACTCTGCCTGCCTGTGTTATGACTTTATACTAAAAACTACATGTACAATATTTACAATTACTTTCCAATACCTATCACCTATGTTAGACAGTGAGCTTCTACTCTAAACCAATCTAAAAGTGCCAACATCACAGCAGAAGATGGAAGCTAGGAAGAAGAAGGAGGAGAAAGGCTGGACACGTGCAGATTCCTCCATCTTGCCCCCTGAACCCCCATTCTAAAAACCCCAAAATCTACTTTTTCACCCTGTGATAAATTCACTATCCTTCTTCTTAAACTGCCATGGCTTGTAATCCTTCATGTAAAGGTTGGTAATTGTTTTTTCCAAGGGCTAAATCAAAGGCACAGAGGTCTTGGGCTCTGTGCCAAGGTCTCTGAGCCCCCTGAGCAGGGGCTCGAGTCCTCCAGGGCAGCCAGAGGAATTTCCTGGGCTCCCAGACTTTCCCACTGAAGGTGTGCTGAAAGCAGGAATGTGCATCCCTTTCCTGAGGGAAAAGAACGTGCAGAGGCATTGCTGAGGCTCTGAAATAAACTCAGCTTCTGCAGGGAGAGATGTCCTCTCCTGGGCACGGGAGCTGCCTCAGCATGGGCAAGGAGTGCTCCTGGCCACTGCCTTCTTCTCCTGCCTTAAAATATCAACTGGATCCTGACCTCAGGGGGGATGAAATCAGCTGAATTCCAGGGAACTCTGCCAAGTGTCCCCCAGGGACATCAGTGGGGCTGGGGGATGAGGGTTATAAATAGCAAATTCTATGGATTATAAACCTGTCCTTGTCCTGATCTCAATGAGCTTCCCTGGAACCTCTCCTGGTTCCTGCCACAGCTGGTGTTGAAGTGGCAGCTCTGCATGGGAATGTCCACACTCCACAAGGCACGGTCAGGTTATTCCAGCAGGAATTCAGCAGGGAATGTGGGGCTGTGGGTATAATTCCTGTGAAGTAGCAAAGCTGATCCTGAACCCCAAATCTGGCACCACACAGAGAACAATCTTTGTGCCGCCCTGTCAGCTAAAGTGCCTGGGCTGGGAAATTTCAGCAGCTAAATGTATGGAATGATGTAAGTAAATCCCAGCATCCCCCAGAGGGACAATCCAAGTGCCAGGGTGGGAGCTCATGTCCTTCCCCTGCTGTTGGCCGGACAAATTCCCCTCAGCACAGCTGGCCGGGCTGGGAGCAGGAGGGGCGGGAGAGCGGAGCAGCTGCCCAGGGAGCGCCGGGACATGAGGCTGCTGGAATCTCGTCTGAATCACTGAAAATATTCTTGCCCTGCAGAAACCAAAGCAGATCCCTCCTGGCCAGGCTGGTAGGCAGCAGCTCTAGGGGAAAACACCCTGGCCCTGCCAGGAGCTCTAACTCTGCTTTTCTCCCAGCTGCTGAGCAGTGTCAGGGCCACTGTGAGGAAGTTAAAACCCAAAAAAAGCTCATAGCCCATGGAGTGAGTGATCCCAACAGAAAAATGCAGTGTTGTCATAAAAAACTTAAAGATCTGTGAAAAAGGGTATGACAACACTGTAATGGGATTCCCGGGAACCTTCTGGTTTGCTCTTGGAATGCTCCTGCTTCTGTTTTTATATATTTTTAGACCCTCCATGGGCAGCTTGCAGAATTTATTCTGGGACTTAAAGGTTGAGCAGGGTTGGCTTTGGGCTGACCTTCACCTCTGGTCCCACTTTGTGCAAACACAACTTGGGCCAAGCTGGGTGAACTCATCACCTCAGCTTTTCTCTCCAAAATATCCCCTGCTTATTTCCCTGAAGATGAATTCAGATTTTGCCCCAAACTGTCCATTCCTCACCTCCACTTGCCCTCACAGTGTCCCTTCTGTTTCCCACAGATGCCCTGGTGACACCAGGGAGGTGCCTTTGCCTTTTTCCTGCCCCTCTCCAGCCTCATCCCACACGGGGCCTTTTTTCCACTCCCTGCCACTGCTGCCAAGGAAGGAGGACACAGCAGGTCCCAAGTTCACCTCCCAACAGCCATTCCCTCACCTGAGATGGCCTTGGATTTTACCTCCAACATTTTCCCTTCCTGTGCACTACTGATTGCCTCAGTTTGCCTCAAAAACACTCATTCTTTCACCTGCAAGTTAACTCTGATTTTATGACCAAAAAGTCCATTTTATCCCCAATGTATTACTGAGATTTTTAAAACCAAACAACACACTGGTTCTGTTTTATCCTCAAAATCTTTGTGTGTCCCCTAGAAATTATGTCAGATTTTTTTCTCTAAAATACTTCTCACCCTTACACATTATTGCCCAAATTTTCCCTTGATGTCCACTACTGATCAACTCATTTTACCTCAAAACGTTCCTTCTTTCACCTAAAGATTACCTAAAGGTTTACCCCCAATTTTCCCTTTTCTGTCCACTACAGATTATCTCATTTTTCCCTCGAGATGTTAATTCTCTGCCTTACAGATTATTGCAAGTTTTACCCCCAGTGTTTTCCCTCCCTGTCCACTACTAGTTGTTGCCTGTTCACCTCAAAATATTAATTCTCCATCCTGGAGAAAATATCACTTTCTACACCCAAAATTTTCATTATGTGTCCACAAGTGATTACCTCTGCTTTCATTCTCTTCCCTGGGGATTATTTCACGTTTCCCCTCCAGATTTTCCCTGTCTGTCCACTTCTGCTTCCCTCATTTTTTACAAGCAAGTATTCATTCTCTACTCTGGACATTACCTCACTATTTCTCCCCAATATTTTCCCTACCTGCCCAATTCTGTTTACCTCCTTTTTACCTCAAAATATGCATTCTTTGCTCTGCAGGATAACTCAGATTTTATGACCAAAATATCCATTTTGTACCCTATATACTAACTAGATTTTAAAACCAAACCCACACAAGTTATGTCTGCCTTATCCCCAAGATGTTCATTCTGCCCCCTACACATCACATCAGAGTTTTTCTTAAAAACATTTATTGTTCTGACATATTATCTCAGGGTTTGCCTGCCAAATTCTCCCTGCATGTCCACTCCCAATCATCTCCTTTTTACCTCAATATGTTCATTCTCTGCCCTACAGATTTTCCCAAGTTTTACCCCCCAAAATTTTCTTGCCTGCGCCCAGTGCCTGCCTCAGTTTGTCAGTGTTCACTCTCTCCCCAGAGGTTTACTCAAGTTTTACCCCCAAAATTTTCTTTACCTATCTACAACGTTACTTCATTTTTAACTAAAAATATTCATTGTCAACATTTAGATTATTTCAAAATTATCCCCCAAAATTCCCCTACCTATTCACCATGGATTCCCTCAATTTTACTTCAATACTGATTTTCTACCATGTAGCTTTTCTCAGTATTTACCCCCCAATTTTCCATCTGCCTATGACTGATGACCTCATTTTTACCTCAAAATGTTCATTCTCTGCCCTACAGATAATTTCTTATTATTTTACCCCCCAAAATTTCCCTACCTGCCCATAACTGATTCCCTCATGTTACCTTACTCTGTTTGTTCTCTCCCCTAGAGATTATCTCAGATTTAACCCCCAAATTTTTCTTACACACCCACTACTCATGACCTCATTTTTGCCTCAAAGTGTTCGTTCTCTGCTCTAGAGTTTTGGTCAGGTTGTGCCTCCAAAATTTTCCCCATCTGTCCACTTCTGAGTACCTCATTTCTACCCCAAAATATTCATTCTGTCCCCTACAGATGACATCAAGTTTTACCCCCAAAATTTTCCTTCCTGTAAAATATTGACTCCTTCTCTTCCCTAAACATCACCTCAGCTTTTCCTCAAAATTATCCCCATTCTTGGTCCCTGTAGATGAACTCAGGTCTTCCCCCAACTCTGCCATGAATTACCTCCATTTTGCCTCCAAAGTGTCCCTTCTGTTCCCCACAGGTGCCCTGGTGACACCAGGGAAGTCCCTTTGCCTTCCTCCTGCCCCTCTCCAGCCCAAGGTCGCTCCTCTGCTTGCTCTCTCTGCCCTTGATCCACACAGAGGGGCACAAAAGGGGAAAGGTTTCAGAAAACTTTTCTGCTATTAATGAATAATTATTTCCAATTCCCCAGTGAGAAGAAAATGAACTCACAGCCATCAAGGCCTAACAGTGCAGAGCTCAGTACATGTCAGTACAGAGACAAGTCCAGCATCTGAGAGAAAGAAAAAAGAAAAAGGTGATTTATTGTATTTCAAAGTTATTTCAAGTTCTCAAACTTAGACCAACCTTTGCTCTTGATTTTGGCTGGGTGAATCCTGAGCAGTGGGCACAAGTCATGTCATTCATGATGATGTGAGTGATGCTTTCTGGGGGAACTCTGCTGATTTCCAAAGTTTACCTCGCGCCCCATGCCTGATCTGCCTAGGAGAAAACCCCTTCCAGGAAGGGATTTTGCTCCATCTAATCCCGTCTGCCCAGGCTGTTCCATGAGGATGTTGCCAGGCGGGGGCAGCACAGGCAGATGCAGCTCTCAGCACTCTCTGCTCCAAACACAACTCTGGGCTGCTTTGCAAGCAGCTTCTGCCATGAGGTTTTCTCCAGGAGAAATCAAGGAATTGCTCATGGCAGGGTGTAGATGAAGTTGTCACAAAGGGAAGTAAAGGATAAATATTCCTGTAAGAGCCCTTGGATCTGCTGGGCTGAATTGGGAAGGGGACATTCATTCCCTGCATTGCAAATGCACAACAACCTCACACACCAAGCACAGACTGTCAGGTGGGGTCTGACAGCACCACTCTGACAAACATCCTTGTCCTTCTCCCTTTCAGTGACTTCTGCCTTCAAACTGAAGCTGACAAGCCCAAAAGCTCTGTCTGGCCACCCAGGAACAAAAGGATCCTCCCAGGGATGAGGCACATACCCAGCAAACACTCCCAACATGGCATAGAGGCACCTCTGGAGCTTGTGTTGGGGCTGGCAAGGGCTGCAGGAGGACACAGCCCCCAGCTAGGGTGGCAGTGACAGCAGCAAATTCCCATGGTTTGATGGCACAGCAGGGAGACAAAGGCCAGCAATGCCCATGGGAGCTGCAGGTTTAATTCTGCTCCCTGCACTGCCACAACCCAGCAGGAAATCTCCAGCGGAGACAGAAAATCCCAGGATGCACAAAATGCAGCATCTGTGACCCTGATCCTGCTGAAACTCAGTGTGTGGGGCTAAACCCCTCCAGATAAACACTGCCCTGCCCTGGATCAGTCCCAGACACTGCCCCAGTCCTCACCTCCCACCTGCTCCCGGGGCTGCCACCACATTCCTGACAAGGAGCCAAAGGCCCCTTTGGACAGGGCTCTCTCTGTGTCCCAGGTGTTGGGGACTGCAGGGAGCAGGGCAAGGACAGCCTGAAACCAGGGCAGATCCCTCTGCCTTTGGGACACTCTGGGGACAAATGGGGACTCACCCCACACCACAGGCAGGACCTGGGCCCTCCAGTACAGGCCAGCTGTTCTAGAGCCTGTTGGGTTTGGCTGCTCAAACAGCAAAGCTCTTGGCAAAGATGGGATGAGTTAAGTCATTTTCCCTGTCCTGAAAGAGAAGAGAAAATGGAAATTAAGTCCACTGTGAAAAGCAAAGGCTCCTGGCTTTCCCACTTCTGTTTTGTTTGCTCACTATGGGGTTTTATCCATAAAAAATGAGAGGTGGCACCAAATAAAAGTGCCCTTTTTTCAAAATTTTTCCCTACATTTCTTTCATATACAAAAAGGATGCCCATTTTTTCTTATTGCATTCTTTGCCTAATTTTAACAGAACCATTTTCATTCCAGGCCCTGTCTGTGAGTTATTCCATGCTTTGCCATTGGACTTTGGACAAAGGAGGGGGAGGATCTGTTCCACATGGGTGTCATCCAATGCTCAGCTCTGCTCCAGTGCTTTCCTTGGGAAAGGATGTACTGGAATAAAAGCAATAATCCTGGCCCACATGGTACCTGCCCATGGGAGGTCATTCCTGGCAGAAGGGACCTGCTGACTGCTGTGGTTCAATACTTGGCTGTGTTGCAGCAACAGGAAGGGCTGCACTTGGAGCGTTCCCTCCTCTCCTGTTCTGGGAGCAGGAGCATTGGTGTATGCAGGTGGGTTTGCCCAGAAGCTGTGTGTAAGAGGAGAGGACATTTGTCAAGGCCCAACCATGATAAACATCCTTCTCATATCAACAGCAAAATCAAAGATTTTGAGGAATGATTGATTTTTGAATGAATGAATGAATGAATGAATGAATGAATGAATGATTTTTTCCTGACTCAATACCCATCTGACCCTTTACAGGGCACTGATAGTTATAATATTACCTGCAGTTTCCTGGAGCCATGAAACAGCCAATACCTGCAGCACATTTGGAGAGAAACAAACTGCAGGATACTCTTGTCCAAGCAAGAGGTTACTTTCCTTCCCCCAGAGAGCTTTGAGGTGCTTCTTGGAGTCACTCTGATAATCCTGGCTGCAGGTAAGGCCACAAAAATGTAATTGACTCTCAAGATGCATTTTGTCCCCTTTTATATAGATCCATTTAAAATGAAACATTGGGAGGGTTCTGGGGGGATGTTTTCCAAACAAAAGCTTTCCTTCAAAATAAATACACAAACAAACCCAAAATTACTTGTTTTCAAAATGCTGAAATGCAATACTTAAGGGCTGACTTTTCAGAATTGTCTTCTCATTTCTTTGTCCATTATTTCTTCCCAATTATGGTCTGAGCTTACTATTCCACAAGTGTTATGTTTCTCAGTTAATTATGTTTCTCAGTTAATTCATCCCCAAAGCCCTCTCTGAGGGTCCCTTGTCAAAACTTGTAGCTCTTAAGTGAATAGAGTACACCAAAGGTATTTATTCCAGGGCCAACGAAGAAGCTCTTCAGTCAGAGCCAGTAGATGGCACTAAAGGATAGGGAATAAGGAAAAAAATCCAACCTGTAATTGGCAAACAGCCGGTGGGTTCTCGTTTCACTGCCGAGGCTTCCCCATGCTGGTGCCGTGCCCTGTTTCCAGGCACAAAGGAATGGTTTCTTGGAGAGCCCTTTTTGTTTTGTCTCATGCCTGTGTCCCTGGGTGCTTTGGGCACACAGGAAACACCAGCACTTCTGCCCAGTAAATTCATATTTTCACTATTTGACCGCACGAAGAAGATTCCCCAAAGAGGAGTTGCAAGCACAGCACCCAATCCACAGGCAGGATCACACATGAGCTGCTGGAGGTCAACTCCTCAGCAGCAACTGTTGGGGGTGATCCAGAAGCTGCACAACAGCTGATGGGGAAAGGGAAGAGTGGAATGAGCACAGCCAGCTAAGGAACTGAGCACCTACTCATCCCCAGTAATGTCTGGGCAGCATTTGGATTAATAAATTGAATTTTACAGAGAAAATAATCCCGGGACCTTGAGCCAGTGTGGTGGTCAAAGCCCAAACTGTGCACTTTGATACAAAGCCAAACCTTGGGGAGCAGAACTCTCTGATCCACCTTTCACCTTATAAATGCCCTCTGATTATCCCATGTAGCATCATGCTCCAGCCATGGCATAGATCACAGTTTTATAAAGTGCAAGGAAAATTATCACAATTATTATATAATAAACAGAGAATCAATATAGTTACTGGAATTAAAATATATTAGAAGTCTAAATATATCCTGTTGATCCTTTTCCTCTCCTTTTCACAACCATCACCACTTGAGAGCCTCAGAAAAATTTGCAGGGGAAAGTCAACAAGTTCCACTCCCTGCTTAGAGCTGAGCTAACTTCAAACTCGAATAAAATCACTCCATTTTCTTCTAGGGCTGAGAAATCTGATAAAACCCTGTAACTGGGCCAATAAAAAGCTCTTGAATGGCAGGGAAAGTCTCAGTCATGGCAGCTCTTTAAGCCACTCACTGACAACCATCACTCACACAGTTCTGTGCCCATCCCAGGCTCAGTAAAAATCTAATATCTGCTGCTCATGTGATGTCTGACCTGCACTTTGCATTGTGCCTGTTTAAAACATGAATTGCAGTGAGTAAAGCAGGAATGCACTGGCATTCCCAGACAGATATTTAATACCAATGTCCTGTCTCCTGTCACCAGGTTCTGTTTGCTCTCTGCTGGGGAGGTGGCTTTGTTTGCCAGGTGCTTTCTGAAGTTTGGGGATCAGCAGGGCTCTGGAGGAGTGTTAAAAGTGAATACCAGGCTAAGGTGTGGATCACAGGAGATCCTTGTGGGGCTGGGCTCGAGGTTTGCATTTGAACTGGATCTGCCTGAGGTTAAGTGACAGTGCAGGAACAAGGGCTGTGGCTGAATGGCAAATCCTACCCTGAAGCTTGTGTAAGTGCCTTGGCAGCTGCAGGGAAATATCAAAGCCATTTGGTTTTGGTCTCCATTTCTGTACATTTATGTTTGTATTATGTACAGACAGAGCCATTCAAGCCTTCCCAACAGGCAAAGTCAGTTTTGTGGTCCCATCATAAGGTGCAAGGTCCTTATAGACTCATTCCTGACTTGGGAAGTGCAACGAGGAGGGCAAGGAGCAGAGATGGAATGGAAAGGTGGAAGAGAGAGCCCAGCAGGTCTGGGTTTCCTTGTCTTGCTGTCCCAGAGGAGGATGGCATCTGCTTCCCTCTGGCACAATCCTCCAGGAGGTGGCTCCCAAGCTCTCCCTCAAGTACAGAGTGGCAAACCTGGACTTCCCATGCTACAGCCAGGGCAGGGGCCTTGGCTGTTGCTGCTCAGGTGCACACAGGAAATGTCTTGTTAGCATCTGAATATTGTAAATGCTTCATTTTCTTATGAGCTTTAGTGAATAATAAGAATTTAAAAAGCACATTTCCTTATGAGCACTTTAGTGTTTATCTACCCTAAAGATGTGGCTGGTGAGGTGGAAACAAAAAGAAAAACCAAACCCAAACCCAGCTGAAAACAAAGCACTCTCAGTCAGTGGAAAGCATTTTCAGAATTGTATTTGTGTGTTCTGGTCCTGTGACCAATTTTCCCACCTCATCTCAGAGTCCAAAAAGCTCAGCTACAGTTAAAGCAGAGTTGTGCCTGATTCAGCAACTTGGAGCAGTGCCTGCTCTCGGGGAGGTGGGTGGCAGTGCCACAGGGCCACAGATCACTCTTAGCACTGTGCAGGACAGGACTATAACCTGCTCTCCAAGATTACTCTGAGGCAAATAATCTCTCAAGGCTTTTCCTACTACATGCAAAAGATAAACAACCAAAAATGATGAACTCTATCAAAAAGGTTACAAGCCCACCTCACCATTCAGGAATGAACACAATCAATAAGTTAGGCAAGGAATTTTTTAACATGCCACAGGAGAGGGGACAGTTGGTACTAAGTCCAATTAGCAGAATTATTTAATTCAGCAATTTAGATACCACACAATCACTTAAGCTTGCAGTATGTAACTAAAATGTATCTTTACTAAAATTTTAAAATAATAAATTGACAATCCATATCAAAATTTGGATGGAATGTGTAAGTGAGGCAAGATAATCTCAGTTCTTCAAAGTGCCAGTTGGGGAACTTACCATCAACTTAAATGCACATGGTATATTGTATTTACTTAAATGTGTCTTACCCTTAAAGATGCTTAACAAGTCAAAAGAAATATTCCCTGAAGTTGGTGATGTGAGCTATATTGTCTGTAACATGAATAATACAGAATTAATTCATTCATGTGAGAGTTGTGAGATCAAAGCTGCTGATGTTTCTGACTCTCCTTCCTCTCTGTCTTTGCAGCCCAGCAAGGCTTCCCTGCAGTGTAATGGAGTTCTCTGTGCCTGAGCAGGTTCTGTCCCACTGACTCCCTAAGAGTGGCAGCGCACAATGTGCTGATGTGGTTTTGTTGATATCAGCACTAAATTCCTGAGTGACATCTGCTGTGACAAGAGACAGACCTGCTTGAGCAACCACAGGTACCAACCCACCTTGCAGAGTCCTGCATGGGGGTGAGTTCAGTACAGGGGAACTGTCTGAGGCACTCAATCCTCAGGCTTCCCACCCTCACCAGGTGTTGGAGACACTTTCTAATTCTTTTCTGATACCAATACAGAAAAAGCATCACAATGGCCTTACAGAACTACTTGGTCTCTTCAGTGCCACTGAATTTCAGGAGCTTGCAAAATATCTTCTCTGTGATAGGCCCTTTCCTTGTTACACCTTCTACCCCATTGCAAGCACAAGTTTTGGATTCCCCCCCCTCCACAGACTGGGCCATCCAGCTGTCTAAGTAATCAGTTCCAAAGCTTTGCCCCCGGCCTCCACTCTGCAGCACCTTCCTTGCCTCACATCAGCAGATTCCTGGTCTCCCCCAGCAGCTCAGAAGCCCCAGTTCTTGCTGGTCTCTGGGGAAGTTGTTTGGGGTCACTGCCAGTCCTGGCCATGCCGCTCAGGGCAGCCCCAGAGGGGCACTGGGACAGTCCCCAGCACTGGACAGGGATCTCTGCAGGAGTGTTTGCCAAGTGCTGGCCCCACACTGGCCCCACACTGGCAACCCAGAGCTGTGCCCTGACCCTGCAGCTCCTGGCTTATCCACAGGAGTCAGGCACTAGTTACCCTGGCAAGGATTTAAAAATATAACAAAAACCAAGACCAACCAACCAACCAATCAAAAAAAAAACCAAAAAAAAACCCACAAAAGAAAAGAAAGGAGTCGTACAATCTTGCCATTTAACTGGGACTTTTAACATAAAAAAACCAAGGTACTGCCACTGCAGTGTCCTGAGACCCGAAAATGCATCTCTGGGAGCCAAAGGCAAGTAACACCACAGGGGGGTTGTCCCTATATCTCTGATGACCTGTCTCAGGAAGTGGCACCTCTCTGTCCCAAGCTGGGGTGTCAAAAAGCTGCTGCTGTTCAAAGCCACGTTGTGCAGGCAGCCCACAGGTCTCCATGCAGGCAGCCAGAGGGGAATGAGCCTATGGCAGCGCTCAGAAACACTCAGCACCTCTGTCCCAAGGTTTGCAGTTCACTCTGTGGCAGATTCCTGCTGCAGACTGCAAGCTCAGCTGATTGCCAGGAGATGAGTTCTGGACAAGATGGAATAAAAGCATCTCTGTCTGTGAACTAGAAGGAGGTCAGCAGGTCTTGCAATCACAGAGCAGCCTCCAGGTTGTGGAAGACAGGTAACATAGAGAATGGAGAACATGAAGGAGGGGATGAGCTGGCCCATCTCCAGCAAGGAAAAGGCACTACTTACAATTCACTGGCTGCTCTGCACATTGAGTAAATAGAAAAAAAGCCCAAAGTAAATCCAAACAACCAAACCACAAAAAACTCCCAAACCAGACAACTTACCTTCAAGGGTGGCTGTGGATTAGGCACTGAGTGTTCTCTAATTTGGTGAGCAATGCAGATTCTTACTCAGACCCAATAGCAGACCAGCACTGTGAGCATCACTGGCTCCCCTGGCCTGATACCGTTTATGTCCTAAACTCTCAGCAGAGTTTCATCTTGACAAAATCAATCCAAGGCCCACAGATTCCTTCCCAGGTACTATCCATGGTATGTTGTGCTGTTATTTCTCTTGCCATGAGAATGAACATCAATTTTTTCAAGACATTTTGGAAATACCCCCAATATCCTATTCTTCCCCAAATGGTGATTGTCCAGGCCCAGGGGAGAAGCAAACTGATCTAAAGGAAGCCAACAGAATAAACCCTCAAAAGTGATTAATTTTTCTAGGGAATAGAGGTGGGTGTCTCATTCTTCAGCAAGTTTGTGATTTGAGTGGAGTGCAGAAAGAGGGAAGGCACAGAGAGAGAGAGCAGCTGCAGTGGTGGGAAAGTGGCCCACAAGAGCTACTTTGCCCATTGTACCTCAGTGTGGCAATATCACATCTTGCTGGTGGTTTCCAAGAATGGCCAGAACACATATTTGTATTCCCAGAGCACAAGGGAATTGCTTCCATGCCAGCTGGTCTGACAAACAGATATATGGAGGAACACTGTTAAATGTGTATGCTCAGAAATACACACCTGGGAAGTGCAGCCTGCCCTGCATTAGGAGCCCTCTAATCACGTGTAAATGAGAGCAATTCACTGCCAGAGTGTGATGGGGGTGTGCTGGTTTGCAAATCAAAAGCCAAGGGCTCTGAATTCACACTAACCCAGAACACAGTTCCAATCTGATACGAAGAGGAGTCGGTTTCATGATGAGGACAGTCACATATTGGAGCAGTTTGCCCACAGCAGCTGGGCTGTGCAAACTCTCTCCTGGGAGGTTGTCAGCAATGTTCAGCAACCTGTCCCAAGATCAGTGTTGAGCCAGAGATGGGACTGAAGACATTTGGAAGCCCTTCCTCCCTGACTGATCGTGTGCTAATCCCCCCTTTTCTGCACAGCCATTCAGATATGGAGGGGTTCTTCCTATATTATTTGGGCACGTTTTGGGCACAAGGACTGCTCCATGAGCTGATGAAGCACAGGAAAAGTAACCTTCTCCTACTCTCACCTATCCAACTGCCACAGCAAGGCTTGGGCTCCTGCAACTGGCCAGACAGCCCTGTCAGGGTATCTAAATACAAGGGAGAACCATTTGGGATTATCTCCTGAGAAGAGTCTGTTCTTTGGCTGATTTGGTAACCAGAAATTGGCACTTGCATCTGCCTGGAGTTGTGTGCTATTACAGCTTCAGTGAACACCTACTTTCTCAAAGCTCCAAAACTTTTGCTGCTATTTCCAATACTCAAAGCTTTTAGTTCTGTAAAATTCTATCAGTGCTGTTTGCCAGTTATTATCAAGACTCCCTCCTTGTTTGGTTTCTCCTCATGGTGCTGCTGAGAAATGGTGGAATATAGGTACAGTCCCAGGCCATGCCAGCTACATCTTCACTGCTTTTCAGTGCCAAAGGGTCCCTTAGGTAAGTACAAATTCTGCTTGATGCCCCTTGATGCTCAGTCACACTAAGCAAAGTTTGTCCCTGCTCACAGCTATGCTGTAAATGTTGCCTCATGACAACTACAGTTCAGCAGGTTTCAGGCCAGCCCTCTGCAAATGGTAACCTCAAAGGGACAGCAGCCACAGATGTATCACTGCAGTATAAATAATTCATACAGAAAAAGCCTTCACTAGAAGAGAAGGATCAAGCATTCAAGTGTTTCTCCCAGCACATGGAAATGAAAACAGTTCAACTTTTTTATTTAGTACTAATGCAGTGTTTTTCCTGATAATATCATGAAGCATAACCACTTCAAACAGGTGAGGTTTCATGGAGCTCTCCACTCTTGGAAGTGTCTACATCCTAACACCGTGCCCAGTGCATAGCCGAACTCTTGCTATTTACTGGGATTTAAAAGGGACTCACAAAGCTCCAGCTGCACGTAGCACCCCACTGCAAAACCCACCTGCCTTTGCCATGTTTTATCTCTGCCAGGGCAGTCAGATTTCAGTGTTTTCTGCATACACACTGTAGAAATGTCTATCACCACAATGCTTCACAATTGATCTGTGTTCTACCTTGCAGGCTTGGAGATTTCATGTGTCAAGATGATCTAGCTGAAGTAACAAGTGACTTGGATGTTCAAAGAATTCTTGCTAATGTCCGTCATAAAAGCTGAAGTAAACTGCTATGAAATAAATGAACATTTAATCACGTAGTGACTACAGTAATAAAAAGTGGGAGGATACCTGTGTGTCCTCCAGAGGGATTCCTGAATGGACTTGTAGATTTATTAAGCTTAAGTAGAAGGGTGGCAGTTGATTATTTATTATTTAGTAAGTTACTTAGGATCACAGAAGTGTGAAACACCTGCAGAAGTCCCTTACAGAGTTCTGACCGGTGTCCTTGCCCTCTGGGACAGCTCACTGCCCACCAGGACCCCCAGGCCCTTCTCCTCAGAGCTGCTCTCCAGCAGGTGACCCCCAGCCTGTCCTGGTGCCTGGGTTTATTCTTCCCCAGGTGCAGGACCCTGCATTTCCTTTTCTGGATTTCAGACAGCTCCTCTGCCCATCTCTCCACCCTGCTGAGGTCCTTGGGAAGGGCTGTGCAGCCCCAGGGGGACTGGCTGCTCCTCCCAGCTCTGTGCCACCACTGAGCCACCCCAAGGCACTGATGAATATATTAAACAGTTAATCCTGGGGGACACCACTGGTGACAGGCCTCCAAACAGACCCTGTGCCAGTGTTTATGAACCCCTGAGATCTGCTGTTCAGCAGGTGTTGATGGGGGAGATGACAGAAAACCTTCAGCCAGCTGTCACAAACAGCACTACATTAATCACTGCCAGTCAACAAGAAAACTCAAAGGCAGAAAATATTCAGATACTTTATTTAAGAAGAAATAAAAAGCTTAGCTGCTCACCCATGCTATCTGAGGCTTGACAACACCACAGAAAGCAGCATCACAGTGGACTCTGTAACCCATAAAAGACAGTTTCCTCTTCTTCCACGAAGATTTTGCTGGAATGTTTTGCCAAGAATTCCTCCCTTTTTTGTAAACGGCACAATGTCACCCACGTCACACTCCTGCTTGTGGCTCTTTTACACAATGCAGGTTTTGTCACTATGAATTGCAATGAAATGCAGAGATTATTTGTGCTTTGACACACACTGAAATAGTAAAAGGTGCATTCTGTGTATTTAAGAGATTAACAGACTTTATTGTTTTCTAAAATATTTTACAACACAGAGACCCAAACCAGTAATTCCTGACAATTTTAGCAACTGTCCTGTGGATGAACAAATATGTTGGTAAGTTTTTGTTGACAGACATATACATACATCCACTTTCTAAGCTTGCACATTTGGATTCACTGAAAATGATGACTAAATATATCTATAAGCTCAAAAATGATAGGGTCCAAGATTACCAACAGTGTTTTATAGTTACCTCAAAAAAGATTTGTTAACTTCATTACAGTGTAGCTTCCTAACATGGCATTATCTACTTACCTGATACTTAGCTTTAACACAGATCTGCTGTAGTTTTACAACCCAGTTTTCAATGTCACAAGTGCATATTTGACACGACTACAGCTGGCCAAGTTGCAACTGCAAACAAATGTAGATTTTACAGTGTTCTGCTACAATAATCCATGTTTGGACTAAAGCTAGTTTATACTTTGACTCATTAATTTATCCACAAATACTGATTTTGAGTATATTAGTGTATTTACTGTACTTCTGAAAAATCTTATCACAGAATACTTTGTCTATGGTACAGTAATGAATATGGCAGGAAAGCAGATTTAAATATACCGATAATTTAAACTCTTAAAATAGTCTAAATCTTATTGACACCAAAAGGCTTGATAACTAATAGCCATGCTCTTCATATTTTGGAATATCAAATTATATGTACATATACACAACATAGATAGGCTATTAATAAAAGCATTTAGTCTATTTTACAGTCTTCTCTGTTCAGGATAATCAGCTTTCAAAGACTGAACATTTCAAATCACCCAAAAATCATTAGCAGTTAAAAGGAGATTTTTTTTTCCCTGCAAACATGTGCTGGAAATAGCCACTCTTCTGGGGCTTATGCATAATTCATATTTCTCTCGAATGCCACTTAAGATCTAGATGAAAAACTCTTAGTTCAAGTGTCAACCCACATAAAGAACATTTGTAATAGAATCCCAACCCATGACACCTGCAGATATCTCTGCTACAAATAACCTTCTGTAACAGATATTTATTAAATACAGTATTTTGTTTTACAACTCCATTTACAACTTCAAGCCATGCTGACAACACAGAAAGATTACTACAACATGGAAAAAGCTTTCATTCAGTCAAGTGGTAACTAAATCTATGTCATAATTTAAGTATTAATTGATAAAGCATAAAAAAAGGTGCTTAACTACATAGCATTTAAATAAAAAAATACTGCATCTTTCAGACATTATTATAGTTAATTCTTTATTTGTTCTTATCAATCTTTAAAATTCAAGTTGCAAGTTACTGAAAGGTCACTTAAAATAACTGATTAACAAAAGTGAGCGTAAGCCACATACCTGGGGTAGGATGAGGCATAAGCATAGAAAATGCAAAAATGTTTAGGATCCACAATAACAGACCATGTGGGAAGAAAAAGTTTAAAAAGTATTTTTCCTATCATACTATTTTTTCAGCCTTACTCCTTTCCTTTACATTGGGTACAAGTTGTGAGAACAATGTCAAGCTTTTGTCTTTCATTCAGCCTTATTTGGGTATCAAGCTCTCACCTTATCATTAAAATATATACACTCTATACATCCATTCAGTTTCCTCTCACTTCACCTAAATACACTGTACAGGCCTACAGAGCTCTTGTGACACTTCTGTGTTTATTTTGTCCTTTGTCACTGGATTGGTTCCACATAGTTTGCTGGGTATAAACCAACTTGTCCATTGTCCAGGCGTCCTTTGCACCAGCCCTGCTCATCCTCATTCTCTATTTTGGTTAACTCATCCCCTGAAGAAAAGAAGGAACATTTTCCCCAACTCAGTGAAAGTCAAATAGATGTTTCATTAGGCTTATTGTATTAAGGTTTTAAGGGAATCATGGAAGAAAATGCTACAAAGATTAAATAGCTCAGAATTTGCTTGCTAACTTCCAGATTATGCATTCATGAATGTCTGAACTATAAGTTAACTTCATTTTGACTGCAATGCACATCTGATATTCCACATCCTCAGGGAATACTTTGACTTTTGAGAGCCTGCAGACTCCAAGATGCTCCATAGGAGCAAAGGAAGTTCCACCTCAGCCAGGCAAAAAAGGCCACATTGAGTAACAATTATTTCCTCCTGTGCAACTAATTTGTGTCAAATGTTTTCCCTAGATAAAACTGATGTGTGTTTTATCTTAGCAATAGGAACTAGGTGATGAAGATATTAATCACTTATTACAGTCTAAAATAGTAGAGAGTCTTGGTGTCATTCAGGAGAATATAAACTAGCTAAGGAATGTTAATTTTTTTGGTAGAAATAGACAAGCTTCATATTAAATCTTCTCAAGATACTTATCTTTATAGCTTTTCTCTTCCATAAAAAAGTCAAAGTTTCATCTCTTCTAGTTTTTATCAGAAAACTAATAAATACCCATTGTGAACAAATGTTTGGCACTTCAGACTCTATTTGGTTTATGGAAATATGTTACAACTTTTCCACTTTTTCTAGTGCTGCAGAATGGAAGTGAACAATTTCAAACCTTCCATGAAGTGTGTGTTAATAAAGAGTAGAAACAAAGAGTACTCAAATTTCACATTTCAATGACAGTATGCCCTAACAAATGCATTTGTATCAAAGCTTGGGCTTGGAAACTTGGTGATCCTGGAGGTCTAAGAAAATATTAACACTTTTAAGTGTCATCTGCGCAGCAGTTACAATGAAACCACTGTGATGATAAAACAAGAACACACAATAACATACTCTGACAACATTGCAGGGACAACCTTTACTATGACTATTCTCAGCCACTGAAGGCTACAGGAGGGCGAGACAGACATATTGTTAATAATTATGTCCCATCCTCTTACGTGCTTATAAAACCTCTCATAGGATATGAATAAAGTTATCCTTGCTCCTTGGAAGCCTCCAAGGAGTTTGCCAACAGAAAAAACAAAACAAAAAGCACCAGATGTAAAGGTACTCTACTAAAAAAACGAGTTTTGTGTATTAAAGTACATTTAATGGACACAGTGCAAAGCATATGTCCTGGTTTGAAAAGGAAGTGAGTTTTTTGGGATGCTGTGGTCAAACCAATAGGTGCTCAGATTTGAATATTGGCACCTGGTGTAGCCACTGAGGACATGGATACGCCTCTGAGAACACAGGGAGTTAAAAGCAGAGAACCCCCAGGGGGAAGCTCTCTTGGGTTCTCTTGGTGAAAGAGGTCAGAGCTCCCCTGCCCGGCTGCGGGCTGGGCGGGGGAGAGGAGGCCATGTGGCCGGGTGAGGTAGGCCGGGCTTTGGGCAGAGAGGGGAGGTGAAGGCCCCCCGCAGGATGGAAGGGTAGAGGAACATTGGAGAGGCATCAGGCAGCCACCCCCCCCTCCCCCGCAGGGTGGGGGGGAGAGAGAGACAGAGAGAGAGAGACATGGTGCTTGTGCCACCTTGAAATTTGATAGCACAGCCGGCCAAGGAGGAGGGGGGGGGGGGGGGGGGGGGGTGCGGCAAGAAGGCCCCCCGCAGGGCAGCGTGGGAGTTCTGGACAGGCAGAGCCTGAGATTTTTAACCCTTTTCTTGAATGATGGAAACCTTACAAATGAGGATCCTCCTGGAGTTGAATGAGAAGAGAGACAGAGATAAGAGGAAATGGGCCACAAGAGAAGTTGAGAAGAATCTTAGGTGGGAGGGATGATGGAATGGCCTTTGGCTGGACTTTTCTTGTATAGCCATGGACAGAACCATTTTTCCTGTGACACAGAGACTGCATTTAGGGGGAGGCAATGGCTTGGAGCCAAGAGAGTGCAGTGATGTTATGTGAAGGAGTGCGTGAACAGAGACAACGGGTGAGGAGGGTGGTGGTGCCCTCCGTCCTCAGGGAAGAAGAAGAAGATCTCTGTTCTTGAGACCCCTTGGCCCCAGGGGGTGAATTTGGGGGGGGGGGACTGGTGTCCCAAAAGTGAGAGACTGTGCGTTTTTTGGAACTGGGCAAAACATCCTTAAAAGGGGAACCCTAGAAGCAGCTCTGGTCCATGCGCAGTGGTGAGAGCACTGGGCATGGAAG